TTAGCTTCTGGTCTAGGTGTAAGCCGAGGTATTTTACTTCTGTCTATACTGGGATTTGTAAATTATCGATTGTGACTGGTGGACAGTGTGTGCGCTTTGTTGTGAATGTTATCTGCTAAGATTTTGTTTGGTTTATCCTGATTTTCCATTTTTTGAACCATTCTTGTAGCAGGTCCAGATGGTGTTGAAGAAATTGCGATGCCAGTGCCGGGTCACGGTCTGTTGCTAGGAGAGCAGTATCGTCTGCAAAGGTTGCTATTGTGGTGTTGCTGGTTGTTGGCAAATCTGCAGTGTATATTAGATATAACAAAGGCCCAAGCACACTCCTTTGTGGTACTCCGGATTTTGCTAGTTTCTAGCTAGAATAGGCATTGTTGTATTTTACTTGGAAATACCTTTCTGAGATGTATGATTTTAACAGTAGATAGTATGGACTTGGCAATTTGTTCTTAATTTTGTACCATACGGATCTAGCTGCAGAAAACATACCGAACAAAGCAACGCACACATGTAGGTTATGTGGAAAACACAATGCCAACGCCCACACAATACCTATCCAAATGGAAAGGAAAGAAAGAAAACTCAATCACGTTATGTGGATCACAAATGAAGGCGGTATTTCTTCACTGTATAACATATGGCGAAACACTTGGCGTGAAGCTCCGACTTCTTTGGACATGTATCAAAATTGACGAGTCTCCTGCCTGCTAAGCACAAGTTAGTATAAAACCTGTGTACAGAGTTACGCTTTGAACTTTGTTTACGAGTTCCAGAACAATTATGCTACTCGGTGGTAGCTACGGGCGCATAAACCGTTTGTACTTTTTGACACATAATAGGATATCAGGCTATTATATTTCAGCGTCCTGTTGCATTGAATTATCACTCGCGTTTTCCGTCTATAATGCAACACATTCCATTTTAAATGACACCAAACTTGGTCAGTTAAAATGTATTATTTTGGGGACCAATTAATTCCGGGGGTAAATAGCTTTAAGTACCTAGGAATAATCATACGCAGCGATCTAAGATGGGCAGATCATGTGAACTGTACACTACGAAAAACATGGACGGTTCTTCACGTAATAATGCGTATACTCAAACAGGGAAGTAACAACACGAAACGTCTAGCTTATTAAGACTGATACTTGAATATGGTTCGGTATGTTGGGACCCATACAGAGAATGGCAGGTCAGCGCTTTAAATCAGGTACAAAGAGGAGCGGCTAAATTTGTAAATCCTACAGATGAATCGGGTTGGGAAACTTGAGGCACACCGCGGGATGATAGCCCGTCTGTGCGCCCTCTACAAGGCTTATGCCTAATTCACACGGGGACAGATTGCAGGAGTCAAGTGCTTGAAGCAAGCTGACTTTCCTTCTGCTTTCACAGTTTGAATAGACGGAGACAGTGAAACTGTAACTTTCCGTCCAAGTACACGTAGAATTTGAGTTGTCGACCTGTCAACTTTTGTGTCCACTGCCCCGTCACGTGAACAACTTCACTCCACCACTTTCCGCGTCTGAACACTAACTTGCAAGTTGAGAGCGTGTCGTAGTGTGTTTTGACTTAATAAATATTTTATTATTATTTTTGCCAATTTACAATCTACTTAACCGTAAAGGAAGTAACAAGTAAATGTGATTATATCTTCTTATGCCTTGAAGGCGGTAACTGCACAGCGGCAGTTCTCATCCATTTAATTTCTTAAGTCTTCTGGCCACTTGACTTAATAATTATGGCTATATTTTGAAAATAATTTCTGAGTGTCTTATTGTGTTAGTATTCATATTTTGATATTATAATGCGTGCCCCAAGGTGGAATGTAAATGAAATAATGAAATTCTTGGAATTGTATGAAACATATGGACTGTTATGGAATTGTAACCGTTCCATTGCTACGCAACTTATTTAATGTAATCAACTTTATTAATTTGAAAGCTTAATTATTCAAAATTAAATGCAGTTAACAAGGGTAGTGAGACATAGGTCAATTTTTGTATGTAAGGGTAAGCGTTCCCCAAGCTTACAAGAAACAGGAAGACACCCATCAAAGGTTTATTAGAGAAAGTTGCGTTAAAGAATAGAGTAAAGAAATCTTTTGTAAATTCAATACTTGGCAGTTTGTGCATGCCATAACTTAAAAAGAGTGAAGTTTTTAGGGCCCAAGCGACGCTTAAGCATTTGTCACTTTCTGACAGAAATACGTTGGAGTCAAAAATCCTTAAACCCTTGAAAGCCTTAAACGGAGTGGAGTATAATTAAAATACTCCTATTTTTCAAAATTAACCAATCACTAAAATTTAAGGGTGTGACAGGGCAGTGACGCTGGTGAAAGCAGGAATTGAAGGTTTGAGGAAGCGTCATGTTTTAGCATCAGTCGGAAAGGGGGACTCGTTAGAAACAGACGTAAATTCGGAAACCGGGGGTCGTTAGAATCAGACGTAAAAAAGTCGAAAAGCTGCACTCGTAGAATTAGCCGCAAAAAGTTGCACACCGGGCTCCGAAGCAGTTAGACATAAAGGTTACTGACACTGAAACTGTATCAAAAGTGGTTAAACAAGTGTTCAATATAATTCGTCCAAACTTGTGATGTGCTTGTGATTTGTGTTATTTATTCCTTTTCTGAGTTGTGGCCCATTCAAGGCTCTGAGATAAGAGATCCTCAGCTCTACAAAATCAACGAACCCCCCCTCCTTTAAAATAACCCTGAGATAAATTTAGCAACAAGAAAGAAGAACCTACTGGAGGCGACCCAGCGCGAGAAGAAGGAAGGAGGTGAGGAAAAAGGGCGGTAAGAGAGAAGTGGCGACCCAGCGTGTGAGCAAGAAGGAGAGGGTAGGAGGTGGAGAAAAGGGCGGTAAGAGAATATTCGACATCAAGATTACATGAACAAAAACAAAAGAGAATTATTGTTCGAGAAGCTGGTGATGGAACTGAGGGAACAAGGATTTGAAAACACTGACGTGGAATTAGTGCGTAAAAAACTGAAAACCATCAAAACCGTGTATAGACAAGAACTATCAACTGTCCGAAATCTACCCTTTTATTTCATCATGACTCCTGTTAATATTGTAGCATGCAAACCTGCTGTTAGGCCTCGATATAGAACTAAGCAGCCATATAACAGCCGTTGCTAGGTAATGGCTCTTTAAACACGGGCTTTTGCAAACGTAGTGGAAGCAACAGACATATGCAATAATAGAAAATAAAATAGAATAAAATGGTAAAAAATTATGTGAAATTTCACTCTGAGACTAAAGGGCATGTGAAATTTCATTATGAGGTCCAGAGGTACGTCAAATTTCAATATTTGACGAAGAAGTATGTTAAATTTCATTCTGACAACAAGAGGTATGTGAAATTTCACTCTGAGAATAAGAGGCATCTGTAACTTCCCTATCAGAGAAAGAGGTATGTAAAATTTGAATTGTTTCATATTTGGTCCGTTACACTATCAATCACAAATTGTCAATGAATAATCCGTCGAGTGTAACAACGTTCTTAGGTCACTTATTTATTTCACTCGCCTTACACGTTTCGGTTCAAAAGAACCATCATCAGAGGCACGTTACAAACACATGAAACCACTGGCGTTGTATTGTACACAGTATGTAAGCTGCGTGATCTGCTACAGATGTCGGAGTGTAAAAGCACAACACTTTCTAGTAACGTTGAATGCATGTACACCTCTTGCATTCCATCCAAAGAATGCTCTCAAATTGAGCCGTCAATGTTAAAATATTTAAAAGCTTAAAACATTTGAAATAAAATTTGGCTCCTTCTTGTTGATTCGTCCCGGTGATGGGAATCGTCAACTTGAGGTTGTGTATGCTTTTGGTCGGATGTGTCTTACGCGTTGTGTGTTGTGTACTGCAGTTCACAACACACAACGCGTAAGACACATCCGACCAAAAGCATACACAACCTCAAGTTGACGATTCCCATCACCGGGACGAATCAACAAGAAGGAGCCAAATTTTATTTCAAATGTTTTAAGCTTTTAAATATTTTAACATTGACGGCTCAATTTGAGAGCATTCTTTGGATGGAATGCAAGAGGTGTACATGCATTCAACGTTACTAGAAAGTGTTGTGCTTTTACACTCAGACATCTCTAGCAGATCACGAAGCTTACATACTGTGTACAATACAACGCCAGTGGTTTCATGTGTTTGTAACGTGCCTCTGATGATGGTTCTTTTGAACCGAAACATGTAAGGCGAGTGAAATAAATAAGTGACCTAAGAACGTTGTTACACTCGACGGATTATTCATTGACAATTTGTGAGGTATGTAAAACTTTACTATGAGACCAACAGGTATCAGAAATATCACTCTTAGGCCAAGAGGGACGTCAAAATACACCACGAGGCCAAGATGTATGTGAAATTTCACTATGAGAACAAGAGGTATTTGAAATTTAACTACTGACAACTGATAACTAAAGATAACTGAAGTATGTGAAATGTCATTACGAGGGAAAGCGTTATTTGGAATTTCACTACGAGACCAAGAGGCAAGTGAAATATCACACTGGGACAAAGAGGAATGTCAAATGTCAATCTTAGACCGAGTAGTATGTAAAATTTAAATATCGGAAAAAGAGGTATATGAAATTTCGCTTTGAGACTAAGAGTTACGTGAAATTTCACTATGATGCCTAGAGGTATTTGTGATTTCACTACCAGACAAAAAGGTATCTGAAATCTCACTCTGAGAAAAGAGGTATGTGAAATTTCACAAGAGACAAAGAGGTATATGAAAATTTACTATGAGTCCAGAGGGTGTCTGAAATTTCACTGCGAGACCAAGAGGTATGTGAAGCTTCACTCTAAGAACAAGCGTTATGTGAAGTGCCACTACAAGACCAAGAGGTATGTGGAATTTCACTATGAGGTCAAATGGTACGTGAAACTTCACTCTGAGATTAAGCGGTACGTCAAATTTCACTCTCAGACCAAAAGTATCTGAAATTTCCTTCTGAGAGCAAAAGATACATGAAATTTCACTATCATGGCAAGAAGCAAGAAGAAGAGGTATGAGAAATTTCACCTTGAAAACACGAGGTCTGTGAACTTTCACTATGACACCAAGAGGTCTCCATCAGTTTTCACTTTTTGATAAAACGGGAGCTATTAACGGCTTACTGAACCCCACACTCCCAATATCACTCATCAAACCTTCAAATCACAAAATCAGATCGTCCACTACGAACCTCCTGCGGCTGTCTCGCACCGAGAACTCCAGTCTCTCCTATACAGCCCTCGCAGTTTGCTCTACTGTTACGTAATCGTCGCGTCTATAAAGGGGTTGCCCAGCAACGCAATGATTACCTGCTGCCGTGATGTGTTTAGCGCAGCGCTACCTAGCAACGAGTGCAGTGCGGTTCTTTTCGGCATGACACAGCGAAAACACCGCTTTCCTTACTGCTGCGTAATCGCCGTGTTCACAGATTTCTGTGGCTCATCAGTTCTTGCATGGCGTAAATACGCCACAATATTAAAAATGTTGCCAACGTATGTCAAGGGTCTGCTATTACAATGGATCATTTCTTACCAGTCCCGCTTTATACACACAATTCCCAACTTATGATATTGTGACGTATCGATCCATTGCTACGCAAAGCCCGCAATACATACGCGGCCAACACAGGAGCATTGGCTTCTGTGGTCGGCGCACGGACCACTGCTATGCAAGTATGTAAACACATCTCGCGTAAGTGATGACGTCACAGAGGCTATTTCTGCGTTGTCTGTTCCGTGTCTATATAAGGAAAGTCTGTGGAGAATTGGAATTCGAGTTCAGAATTGAATTCTTTAAAGAAGAATTTCAAGTCAGCCTGCGAAGTTTAGTTTGAGGCACATACCCCCACCAAGCCTGTTGCTACGAAACGCTCGGTAAACACCCCTTCCACGCTAGACAATGACGTCACACCGCAACAACGATAGCTATCACAGTGAGACTGTTTTCATTGCTTTACCAGCGTACGGCTAGTGCCAACTGTAAATCTGCAAATCGGCGACAGTGTTGGATTGCTTCTAAATACGTGAAAATGTCGCAAATTACAATGAGCTGAATAATTGGTGTAAGTCTATAGTTAAGTCTTATTATAGCAGGGACTACAATTGTAGTTAATCACATATATGTGAGAGGGGGTGGGAGGGGTAAGGTGGGTAGCACGTGGTGAATTATTAATTCGTGGTGCGTGGGTGATATGTATACTTTTATATGGTGTGGGGGGGGGGCACTGTGAATTCCAAAGGTTCTGTACAGCCGGCTCCATGCTGACTTGTGATTTCGTAGTCCGTGTTTATAATCCGTTGCCTATTTTCCTGTCCTATGTTGGAGTGTTACTTGTGGGATTCTCCGACTGAAGTTGCTGTAACGCCTGTGTTTAACACTTGCTCATTATTTTGCTCCGGCTTTTAGGCATTATTACAAAGAGGCAAAGGCACACAAAAAGGTGACATATAAGCCTGCTTTCGTTTTCTTTCAAAATAAATAATGTGATATGTAGATCCACTTCTAGGCAACGACTCTGTAGATACATTCACGCGGAAACGAATAGGTGGTAAAGGTAAAGCTATCCCTGTAGAAGGCCGCGTAGGCCCACAGGGTTTGCTAAGGCAACGCCCGCAACACACACGCGGCCAACAGTATGGGAACAGTGTTTTCTGTGACCGTGGACGGACCGTTGCTATGCAACGCGCACTGTGACGTCACACAACAGAACTGGGTAGCATATGTTTACTGCGATGCGTTATCTGTCCCTCGCCTATAAAAGTGAGCAGAATTCCGAAGCTGAAGTGGCAAGCTGGAGGCATACAGAAGTGTAGGGGCAAGAATATAGCGGTAAGGGGTAAGCCGGAGGCATAGAGAAGCGTAGGGGCAGGAATATAGCGGTAAGCGGTAAGTTGGAGGCATACAGAAGAGTACGGGCAGAAATATAGCGGTAAGCTGGAGGCATACAGAAGCGTATGGGCAGGAATATAGCGGTAAGCGGGAAGCTGGAGGCATACAGAAGCGTAGGGGCAGGAATATAGCGGTAAGCTGGAGGCATACAGAAGAGTACGGGCAGAAATATAGCGGTAAGCTGGAGGCATACAGAAGAGTACGGGAAGAAATATAGCGGTAAGCGGTAAGCTGGAGGCATACAGAAGCGTAGGGGCAGGAATATAGCGGTAAGCTGGAGGCATACAGAAGAGTACGGGCAGAAATATAGCGGTAAGCTGGAGGCATACAGAAGAGTACGGGAAGAAATATAGCGGTAAGCGGTAAGCTGGAGGCATACAGAAGCGTAGGGGCAGGAATATAGCGGTAAGCTGGAGGCATACAGAAGAGTACGGGCAGAAATATAGCGGTAAGCTGGAGGCATACAGAAGAGTACGGGAAGAAATATAGCGGTAAGCGGTAAGCTGGAGGCATACAGAAGCGTAGGGGCAGGAATATAGCGGTAAGCTGGAGGCATACAGAAGAGTACGGGCAGAAATATAGCGGTAAGCTGGAGGCATACAGAAGAGTACGGGAAGAAATATAGCGGTAAGCGGTAAGCTGGAGGCATACAGAAGCGTAGGGGCAGGAATATAGCGGTAAGCTGGAGGCATACAGAAGAGTACGGGCAGAAATATAGCGGTAAGCTGGAGGCATACAGAAGAGTACGGGAAGAAATATAGCGGTAAGCGGTAAGCTGGAGGCATACAGAAGCGTAGGGGCAGGAATATAGCGGTAAGCTGGAGGCATACAGAAGAGTACGGGCAGAAATATAGCGGTAAGCTGGAGGCATACAGAAGAGTACGGGAAGAAATATAGCGGTAAGCGGTAAGCTGGAGGCATACAGAAGCGTACGGGCAGGAATATAGCGGTAAGCTGGAGGCATACAGAAGCGCAGGGGCAGGAATATAGCGGTAAGCTGGAGGCATACAGAAGAGTACGGGCAGAAATACAGCGGTAAGCTGGAGGCATACAGAAGCGTACGGGCAGGAATATGGCGGTAAGCGGTATGCTGGAGTACAGAAGCGTGCAGGAAGTCAGACTGTGGAGAGTTAACGTGTGATTTGAAGACTTTATGTGTGTTGTAATGCAGCGATATTGGGAGTGTGATTCGGCGAGACTTATAGTTCCTGCGTTATAAATACGTTGCCAGGAAGCGGATAGTGAGGACTAGTGGAAATAGACTGAGAAGATTATAGTGGAGTGATTTGCAATGTGAAAATCAGTAATAGTGTTAAACTTACTTGTAGTGGCGACCTGTGAATCGTCAGTAAAACTATTCACCAACCCGAACCCCCCTTATAGTCACCAATACACATGGCAACGTGTATATATATAATGAATAGGAGACTGTATCAAACCCGGACTGATTAGTGTCATACTCAATACTGTCATGTGTATTAGTGACTATAGACGGGGTCTGGATTGGTGAATACATTCATTAACCACTCTCAGGTCGTAACTACAAATAATTATAAGCCTCACTGGTTTACAAACTCTAAAGATTACTGTAACTCCAGCACATAAAATAAAGTTTTCTATACGATTTCACTAGTCGTTGCTCGGGAACAGGTCTCAACAATGACATTTCTTTTACGATGTTTTCATTATCCGTTTCCTGGCAACTGATTTTTAACACATGAACTATTAACAGTCACACTCCCAGTATCACTATACTGCAACACACGCTAAGTCTTCGACGGCCGACTACTCAAGTCAAAGTCAAAGTCAAAGTCACATTGCGACTGATGGTCAGTCAGTAAGTCTTGGTGTCGAAACCCATCTGGGGCTCATGACTAGATATCTATTACTGTTTGACAGTTACGGTCTTCCTTTGTGGGGCGCCGTTTCTCATGAGAGAGCGGGTCTGTCTATTGTATGTACTGCTGACCCTTGCCAGCGCAGCCTTTCTTAGGACCGAGTCCTTTGCGGCTCGCGACCATATTTTACTCTCAGAATTGAGACTTCCCTTTTCGTCGCCACCGACTCGCACGATCACGGACCTCGCAGCACAAAAGCACACCCTCGGCGCGGACCTACACAAAACAGCTGTCTGCATCACTTCTATTGTGTGACGTTACCGAGCACGCAGAACGCGTTTACCGTGCGTTGCATAGCAACGGTCCGTGCTAGGACCACAGTAAATAATGTTCTTGTATTGCTGCGGGCGTTGTCTAGCAGTGGGTCGATATGTCACATTATTATCATTAGTTAGTTAGTTATTGGAGAGGGTGGGTTTCCCCACGCACTTAGACCTGTAGTTGTCCATTGTGCTTCCCTCTATGATTTCTACCAGTCTCTATATCCTACCGGTACTGGTGCTTACCATCAGTCCCGCCCAGCCAGCGAGACCGGCTCTACTAGCTGAGAGGTATCTACAATGCTTCCCCCATCTACCAGAGGTATTAGAGACTGCTGTTGGGCGGGAAATGTCCGCAATTTGGTTCAGTGATCTCCTTTTAAGTGCCGTAAAGCTACGACATGGGACCCACGGCTCCCTCCCGGAGGACTTGTTCCCTGAATTTTTCCGCCCTTAAAAATTCGACGACCTCCGCCGGGTATTTGAACCCGCGTACTACGAGTCATGAGGTGGGAACGTTACCTCTAGACTACGGAGGCCGCTTTTATTATCAGTAAGGTTTCATATATTCATATAACATGGTCAACAGGTCAGTAGTAAAATCCTCAATATACAGTGACAGGAAAGTAGGAGATTAGTTCTCTGAGATTTCTGTATATGCGTTACATTGTTAAGAGGACAGTTAGGTACACTTTCTGGGCATCTCCCGCAAGTGACGCCGCGATAGGTGCCTCACAAACCAGAGATGCCCCATCACGTTTCAGCAACAGTAAATCCATCTCTTTCTACCAATTGCATGTAATCGTATCAAGTAAGGTGCCGGTTCTTATGGCATTGTTTCACATTCTGTGGGTTTATTCGTAGCTACACGACATGAAGTAACGGGGTAAGATCTAGAGGCGCATGACACTGGTACATTAATGCAACAGTGGACTTTGTGCGCATTATCCACCTTCCTATTTCTGTTCAAATAGCATGATGGATAACGCTAACTTGTATGCGGTAATGACAGGCTTCTTAGCCCACAGATTTACATTGGAAACTCTTTACAGGACGAACAAAGAAGGGAGATACGAGAAGCAATGCCTGGGTGTAGAAAGAGGCACGCCGAAGCTTCCCGCTCGCATAGAGAGGGCGAGGCAGATGACAGCGACGGTAGCGTCGATATCTTCAGAACTGCAACGAACCTGGATCCATTTCCGCCATGTATCCAGACAGAATACCCCAAGAAAACATCTGTGCCAGCGAAGATGACGGGTCGATTGTTAACCAAAGTAATTCGGAGAGATACAGAACTATCGGTAGGTGAAGCAGAGACCTTGAGACAACAGAAGGATTATATCAGTTCCACAGAAGCCGGCATAGAAGTCATGAAAACGGACGCTACACCACTGGAAGCACAGACAAACCCGGACACATCGCAAAGCGACACGTTCAGGCAAGATACAGAAGATCCTGTTTTCGAATCCGCGGGATTATCACATTACACAGAAGTCATAAAAAATGAGGCGCTACCAATTCAGGAGCAAATAAATATTGTAACGTCGCATAGCAACAGGTTCAGACGACGAGATACCGAAACCCTTATACTGGAAGAAGCTAGTATAAAAGATCTTATAAAGTACCTGAAGAAGGACGCTGCAGAACTTGAGCAGCAGATAAACATGAAGACATCGCAGAGCAACCCGCTCAGACAAAAAAGAGAGGTCCTTATATTACAACCCGCGTGCACAGCAGCCGACGTAAAGTTCACGAAGAGCAATGCCGCAGGCCTGGAGGAGCGGAAAATCCTGGTAACATCTCCAGGAGACAAAGTCAGGCAACGTAGAATTGACATTAAAATACAAGTCTCGCGTTCAGAAGTCGATACACAGGTCGTTACAAAGGACGTTGAAGATCCGGAGATAAACCTGGAAAACTCGCAAAACCACACGCTCACACGAGACAGAGACGCGCTTCTATTGGAAGGCACGTGTACAACACCAGACATAGAGGACATGAAGGAGGAGGCCGAAGAACTGGAGGAGCTGATAAACTTTCTAAGAAATTGGCTCACACAGAATACAGACACTCTTACAGTGGAAGCCGACCGCAGTGAACCTCTTATAGAGGTCCTGAAGGAAGCTGCAGAACTGGAGGAACGGGCGAACCTTATAACATCCCAAAGGACCACGATCAGACAAGAAACAGACGGCCTTACACTAGCAACCGCGTACGAAGCAGCCTACAAACAAACAGCGAAGAATACTGCAGAAATTCAAAAACGGATAAACGTGATAACGTCCCAAATGATGGCGCTCAGACGAGACAGAGACGACCTTGCTTTCCAAGCCGCGTGTACGGCAGGCCATATAGAGCACATGAAGAAGGCCTCTGCAGCACTTGGACAGCAGATAAACCTGTTAACACTGCAAAGCGACAACGTGAGGCAGGAGAGGGACGCTCTTGTAGCGGAAGCAGCGTGTATGAAGACCGACATAGAAGCCAAGAAGAAGGACGCTGGACTGCAAGAGCAGATAAATCTGCTAACGTCGGAAAGCGACAAGCTCAGGCCAGAGAGAGACGACCTTATATTGAAAGCCGCGAGTGCAGCGGGTCACATAGAGTTCCTGATGAGGGGCGCTGCTGAACTGGAGGAGCGGATAAACATGCTTACATCCCAAAGCAACAGGCTCACACAAGACAGAGACTCTCTTCTGCTCCAAACCGCGCGCACGGCCACTCTCATAGAGGTCAAGACGAAGGACGCTACAGAAATTGAGCAGCGTATATGCCTGGTAACAGCGCAGAGCAACACGCTCAGACAAGAAAGACAGGCTCTTGTATTAGAAGCAGCGCGAACAAAAGGACATTTGGAGTTGGTGAAGAGAGACGCAGAACTGGAGGAGCAGATAAACCTAGTAACATCACAAATAAACACACTCAGGGAAAATATACACACTTCTACATTACAAGCGGCGTGTTCAACAGCCGATACCGAGGTCACGAAGAAAGACCCTGCAGAAATGGAGGAGCGGATAACCCATGTAAACTCGCAAACAAACATACTCAGGGAACATAGGGACGAGATTACATTACAACCCGCGTGTACAGCAGCCGACGTAAAGTTCACGAAGAGCAAGTCTGCAGAACTGGAGGAGCGGAAAAGCCTGGTAACATCTCCAGGAAACAAAGTCAGGCAATGTAGAAATGAGATTAAAATACAAGTCTCGCGTTCAGAAGTCGATACACAGGTCGTTACAAAGGAAGGTGAAGAACTGGAGATAAACCTGGAAAACTCGCAAAACCACACGCTCACACAAGATAGTGGCGGTCTGGAAGCCACGTGTACAACACCAGATATAGAGGACATGAAGAAGGATGCCGAAGAACTGGAGGAGCGGATAACCCAAGTAAACTTGCAAACAGACACACTCAGGGAAAATAGGGACGAGTTTACATTACAACCCGCGTGTACAGCAGCCGACGTAAAGTTCACGAAGAGCAAGTCTGCAGAACTGGAGGAGCGGAAAAGCCTGGTAACATCTCCAGGAAACAAAGTCAGGCAATGTAGAAATGAGATTAAAATACAAGTCTCGCGTTCAGAAGCAGGTAGACAGGTCGTTACAAAGGAAGGTGAAGAACTGCAGATAAACCTGGAAAACACGCAAAACCACAAGCTCACACGAAACAGAGACGCGCTTCTATTGGAAGCCAGGTGTACAACACCAGATATAGAGGACATGAAGAAGGATGCCGAAGAACTGGAGGAGCTGATACACTTTCTAAGAAATTCGCTCAAACAGGATAGACACCGCAGTGAACCTCTTACAAAGGTCCTGAAGGAAGCTGCAGAACTGGAGGAACGGATGAAACCGACACCATCGGAAACAAAGACGCTCGGGGAACATAAAGGCACCCATGCACTACTACCCACGTGCACACCGGCCGAGGCAGACGACAGGAGGAACGCTGCTCTCAGTGGAAGAGCGTCCAAACCTGGTAAATTCGCAAAACCACACTCTCACACAAGATAATGTTACCGTCCCACTTTCTTTCTTTCTTTCTTTCTTTGTACTTGTGTGCTGGCTTCAGCAGACCACTTGAGTCTATCAGGATTCTGTTACGGCATTAACTGAGGAAACCGGAAACTGCAAATTTGAAGCCAGTCAACTGCTCGAAATCAACAACACAACTTCCGCGGTCCATAACGGTTTGTTTATTTATTCAGAAGTGAAATATAACTTAATTTGCAAGCACGGAGTAATATGGTACTTTATTATTACTAAATTTTAACGATCCAAAGTGAAGGACGGATGAATTTAGAGAAACATGAGGAGTGCAGTCCAATCATGTCTGCCTCCAATCAATTCAAAACGCCACTGTTATCCTGCGGGAGCGTCGCTTCATCCCCAAGAAGGATTCTGAATCGACGGCCTCTCCCGGACAAGAATTCATTTCCAATTGGCTGATTTTTACTAGCCAAATTCATCATGCAATCGGCACAAGCCAGTCGCATAACAAACTTTTGAGAATAAAACAGTTCCAAAGATACAGAACGCGGAACCCCACATGTGAGAGCGGTTATTTTCTTTAGCTAAGGGTCCAGTTACACCCTTCCGAAGTCACTTTATGGCAGCTACACATGTCAACAAAACAAAATTCACATCTTCAGCAGTGTTTACATTAGCGTGGTGCCAGTCTAATAACAGGCGTGAACGCATGTCTGCCAGTCGCCACGCTTCTCTCAGCCAGGCATAACCAAACCGCGTTTGGTGTTGCTTCGAAAAGGGCAGAAATGATACTTCAAGGAACCCCACTGAGTTTCTTTAGAAATTGAGAAGTTGACTTAGGCGGCAAGCCACGTTGAGAATTCGAGCAGTGGCAGTCGCAACGAGCCGTTAGTCAAAAGTGGGAGAGCCTGAAGATCATTAGCGACCCTCGTAAGTTGCATCTCTGTCAATTTCGCCGTTTGGGATTTTAAGCCGAAACTACTTCTAAAACAATCGGTCATTGGCCGGAACCAAAATTAAGCCAACTCCTCTTTGAATCAATCTATCCAGGAAATTAGGAGGAGGAGAGATGTAATATGTGAATTGTAATTACATATCTTTAACACCTATAATGAGGTGAAACCAATTATGTCACCAATATAAATTTATCAATAAGGTTAACCTGTAAAGAGAGGATACCACATGTATAGGTAAACTCTCTAAGACCTAAAGTAACGATGTACTTTAATTATATTGTATCCGCTTTCAGTAAGAGTTTGTAAGACAGCTGTTTTTCTCAATGAGGAAACAAGAGAGCGATAACCTAAGACCCTCTAAGGTTAAGGCGCTTAAATGTCCCAAACATAGCACGTGCTGCTTATGACTGTCGCTTCACGTGCCTGTACTTTGGTCCTGATCTGGGGCGTATTAACGAAATCTCTCTAATACGAGCATCTGCCTCGTGTCATCCAGATTGCGTCAGATTCCACTGTCATGTGCCCGGGCTTTTGACCGAGCCAACGCCCAGATTATCACTATAAGTACAGAACCTTCCGATGGGACGACATCAGACTTACTGATCACGTTGCTGAACGAATCTCTGTTCGCCGACGGTTAGGAGTTGTTATCTGGGTCGTGGACCCTCACATCTGTATCTTCTGTACCTACTGTGTCTTTGAGGAGTCTAGTAAAACTTTGTCGTCTCTTCAGCATCCAGAAAGACTTAGTTCTTTTTGCTGACCTACGCCATACCTCATCCTTTATTTTCGACAACTAGAGCTTCAACAGGTGACATCTCTTCTGCTGGCGGAATTCATCACCTGGTG